TTACTTTAGTTTTCAATCGAGAATATAATGAGTGGTAATACCGGAAACACTGACGACTCCGAGCGTCAAACGTCTTACAGCTCGTCTCCGATGTCTTCTTACAAAGTGAATGAAGACTATTGTCAACAGAATTGCATTGATTTCATAAACTATTGCCAATATTTTCAACATCTATGCGATCATAAAGAGACTGAAAGTTTGGCTATAAGTCACAGCAGTTGTGAATCAAACGAATGCAAGACATTTGAGAATAATGTGTCCATCAGAAGGACTCGAAGACATAGTGTGGAGCGGAAGCCCAGACAGGCCTACAATACCAGACAATTGGAAAGATTGGAAAATGAGTTTCAGGTAAATATAGCCGTTCTCTCTCTCTCTCTCTCTCTCTCTCTCTCTCTCCTATATATTGACAGAAATAGTTATTACTATTTGATAGACCGATAAGTACTTAAGTGTCAGCAAACGAATGGAACTCTCGATTGCTCTCAACTTAACTGAAGTGCAAATCAAAACTTGGTTTCAAAACCGAAGGTTTGGAAATAAATATTAATATTTTTGGTGTCTATTGTCTTAAGCGTTGTATTTAAAGAAACATTTATGCATTTGTGCCACACTTTTAGGACAAAGTGGAAGAAACAGATGAACATCTATGAGAGCAACACATCGACGGACATCATTGGCAAACACAGGGAATACATCTCTCATTCATTAAGACATTGTTTACTCTAAACACACATTTATTTGTATCGCTTAAGCGTCTCAATAAAAAATCAAATATTTGCCACACTTTTACTCTGTGTTTACAATTCATTTAATACCTCTCACATCGACACTAATATGCGGTCTATTTATTCTGATATGCATTTCAATCACAGAATATTCTGTTAGCAAAGCTTAGCTTTCAGACGATTAGCGCTCAAACTTTTCCACACAAACTCTTATAGAGAGTGGAGTTGTGCTATGAATAGAGGCTAATGAATAAATCTGATGGTCTGAATGGTGTGCTCGTGATGTACAGCACATCCCAACCCTCAGAGCACCGGTTCATCGCATCCTTTCTCTTCGTTTGGCGATTGTGTCAATCGATTCATTGGCTGTGCTTTTGGTTGCGCTCTGCAGACCATTGCGTCCCCATCTCTTGATGTCTTATTCAGCCTATAATTACCATCATTGATGAGTTCGTACGAGTGTTGTGTTAAATATGGATGTCTTACCGCCGATGGCTATACATTTTGGACATAATTTATCGTCATTTCAGTCGATTCTCTATATTTCCAATCAAATGATAAACTCATTGAAATTGATTAAAAAAGTTTGCATTGAATTACATATAAGAGAAGTGTTTCCGTAATTATGAGACAATCCCTGAAATTGAATGCATTTTCCCATTGAATGCGTGAAAAGAGTAAACAAACAGTCGATTGAATCCAACCTTTAGTTTAATTATTGTTTGGACACAAGAAGTGGAAGAATGGGCGGTGTCTTCACCAAAGATCACTTCGATTTACAGCACTTATCGCTTCCACTCAAACGTCTGCCTCTTCACGAGTATCCGTCTGATCGCGAAGAGTCACCCTATGATCCGCTCTACGGCTTCCCCAATGGCCGCAAACCCAGAGGTTTGTATTGTCTTTGGTTCCGATGATAATGGCCTCCATTGGTGTCCACAGCATCTCTCTGTCTCTGACCATTCAGTAGACATGTGATCCGTGCGTCCAATGGGGCACATCTGAGGCACTCATAGACTGTCCAAATGTGTTGTGATTGACGAGTGATGTAATGGTTGTAATTGTCTTGTGTTTGCAGTGATGGCGGCGACCGAAGAGGAGATGGATTCGGCAAAACTGGATCCGCCGAAGCGTGACTATTGCGCCCATCGGCTGATGGAGTTCAGGGGTTGTATGAAATGCAATAT